GGGAGAATTCGGCCCCGGCAGGAAGCGCCCCCCTCCTCCTCCTCCTCCCTCGAGAGGCGAACCCCCCCCCGGCCTCGCCCAGAGAGATGCGCGTCGGGGCTTTGGGGAGGGAGGCCCCGAAGGGCTTGCCCGGCTGGCATCCCTCTCCTCCTCCCTGCCGGGCCATTCCGTGCCCGGGCGGCAGAGCCCTCCAGCCTCGCAGGGCTGGACGGGAGAGCCCCGGTGGGGGGAGGCGGCGGCAGGAGGAGGAGGAGGAGGCACCACTGTGGGTGTGTGTCAAAGGAAGGGCTTGGACGGACGGACGGAGGGACAGGGACGCTGGGGCGGCTCTCTGGGGCTGGGTGTGCCATGTGCAAGGCCTGGGTGCCAGCGCGAACACCCTCCTGAACAGGGCCGGGTCTGGCTCCTGCTGGAGCAGGGTGGCTGGTTGCACAACCTTGGCCGTGTGCTGGCAAAGCTCCCCGTCTTCTCATCGGGGAGGAATTCTCTCTGGGTGTGGGTGGGTAACTCGTAGCCTGTGGGTGGAAAGGGCCCCCCCCACATACACACCCCCCACACGAGCTCTCTTGGGAACCTGGCCCGTCTTCCTGGGTCCCAAGCACTCCCCCGCGGGGGGTGGGTGGGGGCAGCCTTCCCCTCCCTGGCCCCCCCAAGCAGGAGTCTGCCCTCGAGGCCTGGAGGAGGAGGAGGAGGAGGAGCAGCTCCTAGGGCCCCCACTGACCCTGGCGCTGCTCTGGATGGGAGCCCACGAGGCCCTGGGCTCTTTGCCTCCTTCCTCCAGGGCCCCAAAGGCAGAGCCCGGAGGACAGCCTTCCTGCTGCTGCTGCTGCTGCGGCTGCTTCAGAAACCTGGGAGGCCGCCATGCCGTGAACAACCCCTCTGCCGCTCTCTTTCGCACGCTGCTCTGGGGCATTGGCCTGTCTTCATAGCGAACGCTGGGTGGTTTGGGTCAAGAAGGACCGGCGATGCTTCTGTCCTCCACTTCCAGTGTTTTACAGGTGATGTCGGTTCCCCCTTTTCTCTTAGTTACATAAGAACATAAGAAGAAGTGCTCCTGCTGGATCAGGCCCGGGGCCCCTCGGGCCCAGTTCCCCGGATCTCCCAAGGGGCCCCACCAGATGCTTGTGGGAGCACAGGAGAGACGAGGAGTTCCACTGTCTCCTGATCCCTCTCTTCCCCTGCCTCTGGCCTTTGGAGGCCCCTTCCTTCAACGCCTGGAGATGGTACTACATCCCCATCGTGGCTTGTCGCCTGCGAGGGACATTTCCCCAGGAATCTGCCCAATCCCCTTTTAAAGGCGTCTAGATGCTGAACACCATCACCGCGTCCTGTGGCAAGGAGTTCCACAGACTAACAACATGCTATAGTGATGATGACGTGGCTGGGCTAGACGGGCCCTTGGCCTGATCCTGCAGGGCTCTTCTTAGTATGTCCCTATGTTTGCAGCTCAGTTGAAGGAAGGCCCCCTTTAATTCACCCCACAATACTTTCAGCTGCTCAGCTGTGGCAGTGGGCTTCGTGCAGGAAAGAACCCGAGCAGTGTGGAGGCAGGAATGGCACCAGGCCTGGGGCAGTTGGCAGCGCTGTGCCACCATGCCCAGAGTTGGATGCCTCTCCCTCTCCTGTCCCGTCCCCCCCACCCCCCCAAAAAGGAACTGAGGCAGGTGGTGTGGAAGAACTGGCAAGCAGAATGAGGCTTAGGAAGAAGCTGTGAAGGGGGGCGGGAACGCCCTGGCGCAGGCTTAGAGCTGCCTCCCCCATCTCTCCCTGAGATTTAAACCCACTGCCCACCACTCTCGGTGCGGGGACTGGACGGTGGGCTGGCCGCCTCATTCCTGCCCTGGCTTCCCATTCAGACGACCCTCACCTCCCCCCAGGTTAGCAGGTGCCATTCTTGTGTGCCCTGGGGGCAGGGAGGGAAGTGCCCCGTTGCCACGGCTCCGGGAGGAGATCCTTGTCTCTCTTTTCTCACACGGGGGCGTGCGGAGCTGGCGCACCGCCCGGGGTGTGGCGGGAACATCCTCTGGATCTGGCAAGCAGGGCTGTCCCTGGACGCATCCAGAGAGGAACATTGGTGGAGCTGTCCTGTCCGGTGGGCTCTTGGTCTTCGAGCAGTTGAACCCTTCGGGGTCAGGAATGGCCCTTCTGATCCAGCTGTGACAAACCACCCCACCCCACCCCACCTCCGCTGCTGTTGCCATTTAAGCTACAAGCAAAGAGCAAAGAAGGTGGGCAAGCAGGGCTGTCCCTGGACGCATCCAGAGAGGAACATTGGTGGAGCTGTCCTGTCCGGTGGGCTCTTGGTCTTCGAGCAGTTGAACCCTTCGGGGTCAGGAATGGCCCTTCTGATCCAGCTGTGACAAACCACCCCACCCCACCCCACCTCCGCTGCTGTTGCCATTTAAGCTACAAGCAAAGAGCAAAGAAGGTGAAAAA